GTACTCGTGATCACTTGAACAACCGTCTATTCAACTCTATGTTGCACCCGACGATGCTGCTTCTACCACTGGTGCAGTCGGTGCCGATGCTGATGCTTCTACTAATACCAGTGCTTGTCATGTTCACCTGATTGCGCAGTGATCTGCACGACAACTGACTGGTTGATGACTGGTGCTTCGACTCGTCTGAACTTCTGTCTAATCATCGACAGGTGAATTGTTCCGTGTTGGACATTGAATAAGTTACTGAACCGATTCCATTGTGCTCAGCTATTATTCTCGTGTGCAATCTTCGAAGCTATCACTTGGACTGATTGTCCCAGTAATGAGCACGTCGTGACTCCTTACACAAATCAGGTTGAGGCAAGTATGGTGATCTTGACCGACCGTTGACGAAGCGGACTGAATATCGAATGGTGATTGGAAGTGGTGTGTTGACAGGTGAATCACAATGGCAAAGCTCACTGTGGTTGTCGTGATCATGAACTGGTCAGCCATGTCTACCCATAATGATTGTTAATCGATAGCGACCAGTGTGTTGTTGACTCGGACTCCATAGAGAATGTGTGTTCATAGGGCATGTGGATGAGAATAGTATACTGAATGCGAATGAGTGTGAGCGTTGGTCACATGCAGTCAGTATAGTTGGTAGTGTTTGTCGTGGGAGTTGCACGGTGCGGCTGAGTTAGTGCGTGCACGTCTCCCGACGGGAATGATGTTGCAGTGATCTCTGCCTATATGCAGATGGGATGATGAGTGATGGTGTTATTGTGATTGTGTATAGCATGTACAGTGACGAATTAAAAGGCGATTTGCATCGGCCGGGAATCGAACCCGGGCCGCCCGCGTGGCAGGCGAGCATTCTACCACTGAACCACCGATGCCCGAATGTGTATTCCGCAACAACACACACACACACACACACATGCACATGCGCATGCACATGAGATACACACCAACAGTACCAATGATTATCACTACTAATTCCTACACTCTCTCACATCCTACTCTCCTCATTCCCCATCATCCATCAACAACTACATCCACATTCTCATCGAATCATCCTTGAATTATCACAACACCATTCCCACCACCACCACCAACAACAACTAACTATTTATCAACATTCACATCGTGCACGTTATTCACCGGTCGAAGTGAAACACAACACATTTATTGCACTCTACACGTTCACCAGTCACCAGTATCAACAACATCTACACTGCACACACACACACACACACACTATCATATACCACTCGTCACAGTATCAACACACTACAAACCAGATTCATTAAACCGGTCGAATCGGGGCACATTCACACAATAACATCAACAACACTACAAACACCATGAGCATCGTCAACTTCACCTTCGTCAACACCATCATTATTAGCAACAGCATCAACAGCAGCAGTAGCAGTAGCAGTAGCAGTAGTAGTAGTAGTAGTAGTAGTAGTAGTAGTAGTAGTAGTAGTAGTAGTATTCAAATAATAATAATAATAATACTAACATTATCAAGAAGAAGAAGAATAAGAATGAGAAGAAGAGGAAGAAGAAGAATAGTACTTGTATTAGTAGTACTAGTAGTAACGGAAGTATCAGCAGCAGCAGCAGCGGCAGCACCACCACCACCACCACTACTCAATTGTTCCTTGCAAACGATCGAACAGACTGAGATTACTTCTTCTCCACCTGACCACCCACACATAATTCACAAACACATTCACAACCACCGATTGGTGGACATCATTTCTCTTTGAGTTGTTGACGTTGCATATCTGTGCAGTTGAATGTAGCCGATCAGTCAGACTGAGGTTACTGCTATGTTGCCTGACGTACTCGTGATCACTTGAACAACCGTCTATTCAACTCTATGTTGCACCCGACGATGCTGCTTCTACCACTGGTGCAGTCGGTGCCGATGCTGATGCTTCTACTAATACCAGTGCTTGTCATGTTCACCTGATTGCGCAGTGATCTGCACGACAACTGACTGGTTGATGACTGGTGCTTCGACTCGTCTGAACTTCTGTCTAATCATCGACAGGTGAATTGTTCCGTGTTGGACATTGAATAAGTTACTGAACCGATTCCATTGTGCTCAGCTATTATTCTCGTGTGCAATCTTCGAAGCTATCACTTGGACTGATTGTCCCAGTAATGAGCACGTCGTGACTCCTTACACAAATCAGGTTGAGGCAAGTATGGTGATCTTGACCGACCGTTGACGAAGCGGACTGAATATCGAATGGTGATTGGAAGTGGTGTGTTGACAGGTGAATCACAATGGCAAAGCTCACTGTGGTTGTCGTGATCATGAACTGGTCAGCCATGTCTACCCATAATGATTGTTAATCGATAGCGACCAGTGTGTTGTTGACTCGGACTCCATAGAGAATGTGTGTTCATAGGGCATGTGGATGAGAATAGTATACTGAATGCGAATGAGTGTGAGCGTTGGTCACATGCAGTCAGTATAGTTGGTAGTGTTTGTCGTGGGAGTTGCACGGTGCGGCTGAGTTAGTGCGTGCACGTCTCCCGACGGGAATGATGTTGCAGTGATCTCTGCCTATATGCAGATGGGATGATGAGTGATGGTGTTATTGTGATTGTGTATAGCATGTACAGTGACGAATTAAAAGGCGATTTGCATCGGCCGGGAATCGAACCCGGGCCGCCCGCGTGGCAGGCGAGCATTCTACCACTGAACCACCGATGCCCGAATGTGTATTCCGCAACAACAACACACACACACACACATGCACATGCGCATGCACATGAGATACACACCAACAGTACCAATGATTATCACTACTAATTCCTACACTCTCTCACATCCTACTCTCCTCATTCCCCATCATCCATCAACAACTACATCCACATTCTCATCGAATCATCCTTGAATTATCACAACACCATTCCCACCACCACCAACAACAACAACTAACTATTTATCAACATTCACATCGTGCACGTTATTCACCGGTCGAAGTGAAACACAACACATTTATTGCACTCTACACGTTCACCAGTCACCAGTATCAACAACATCTACACTGCACACACACACACACACACACTATCATATACCACTCGTCACAGTATCAACACACTACAAACCAGATTCATTAAACCGGTCGAATCGGGGCACATTCACACAATAACATCAACAACACTACAAACACCATGAGCATCGTCAACTTCACCTTCGTCAACACCATCATTATTAGCAACAGCATCAACAGCAGCAGTAGCAGTAGCAGTAGCAGTAGTAGTAGTAGTAGTAGTAGTAGTAGTAGTAGTAGTAGTAGTAGTAGTATTCAAATAATAATAATAATAATACTAACATTATCAAGAAGAAGAAGAATAAGAATGAGAAGAAGAGGAAGAAGAAGAATAGTACTTGTATTAGTAGTACTAGTAGTAACGGAAGTATCAGCAGCAGCAGCAGCAGCAGCGGCAGCACCACCACCACCACCACTACTCAATTGTTCCTTGCAAACGATCGAACAGACTGAGATTACTTCTTCTCCACCTGACCACCCACACATAATTCACAAACACATTCACAACCACCGATTGGTGGACATCATTTCTCTTTGAGTTGTTGACGTTGCATATCTGTGCAGTTGAATGTAGCCGATCAGTCAGACTGAGGTTACTGCTATGTTGCCTGACGTACTCGTGATCACTTGAACAACCGTCTATTCAACTCTATGTTGCACCCGACGATGCTGCTTCTACCACTGGTGCAGTCGGTGCCGATGCTGATGCTTCTACTAATACCAGTGCTTGTCATGTTCACCTGATTGCGCAGTGATCTGCACGACAACTGACTGGTTGATGACTGGTGCTTCGACTCGTCTGAACTTCTGTCTAATCATCGACAGGTGAATTGTTCCGTGTTGGACATTGAATAAGTTACTGAACCGATTCCATTGTGCTCAGCTATTATTCTCGTGTGCAATCTTCGAAGCTATCACTTGGACTGATTGTCCCAGTAATGAGCACGTCGTGACTCCTTACACAAATCAGGTTGAGGCAAGTATGGTGATCTTGACCGACCGTTGACGAAGCGGACTGAATATCGAATGGTGATTGGAAGTGGTGTGTTGACAGGTGAATCACAATGGCAAAGCTCACTGTGGTTGTCGTGATCATGAACTGGTCAGCCATGTCTACCCATAATGATTGTTAATCGATAGCGACCAGTGTGTTGTTGACTCGGACTCCATAGAGAATGTGTGTTCATAGGGCATGTGGATGAGAATAGTATACTGAATGCGAATGAGTGTGAGCGTTGGTCACATGCAGTCAGTATAGTTGGTAGTGTTTGTCGTGGGAGTTGCACGGTGCGGCTGAGTTAGTGCGTGCACGTCTCCCGACGGGAATGATGTTGCAGTGATCTCTGCCTATATGCAGATGGGATGATGAGTGATGGTGTTATTGTGATTGTGTATAGCATGTACAGTGACGAATTAAAAGGCGATTTGCATCGGCCGGGAATCGAACCCGGGCCGCCCGCGTGGCAGGCGAGCATTCTACCACTGAACCACCGATGCCCGAATGTGTATTCCGCAACAACACACACACACACACACACATGCACATGCGCATGCACATGAGATACACACCAACAGTACCAATGATTATCACTACTAATTCCTACACTCTCTCACATCCTACTCTCCTCATTCCCCATCATCCATCAACAACTACATCCACATTCTCATCGAATCATCCTTGAATTATCACAACACCATTCCCACCACCACCACCAACAACAACTAACTATTTATCAACATTCACATCGTGCACGTTATTCACCGGTCGAAGTGAAACACAACACATTTATTGCACTCTACACGTTCACCAGTCACCAGTATCAACAACATCTACACTGCACACACACACACACACACACTATCATATACCACTCGTCACAGTATCAACACACTACAAACCAGATTCATTAAACCGGTCGAATCGGGGCACATTCACACAATAACATCAACAACACTACAAACACCATGAGCATCGTCAACTTCACCTTCGTCAACACCATCATTATTAGCAACAGCATCAACAGCAGCAGTAGCAGTAGCAGTAGCAGTAGTAGTAGTAGTAGTAGTAGTAGTAGTAGTAGTAGTAGTAGTAGTATTCAAATAATAATAATAATAATACTAACATTATCAAGAAGAAGAAGAATAAGAATGAGAAGAAGAGGAAGAAGAAGAATAGTACTTGTATTAGTAGTACTAGTAGTAACGGAAGTATCAGCAGCAGCAGCAGCAGCAGCAGCGGCAGCACCACCACCACCACCACTACTCAATTGTTCCTTGCAAACGATCGAACAGACTGAGATTACTTCTTCTCCACCTGACCACCCACACATAATTCACAAACACATTCACAACCACCGATTGGTGGACATCATTTCTCTTTGAGTTGTTGACGTTGCATATCTGTGCAGTTGAATGTAGCCGATCAGTCAGACTGAGGTTACTGCTATGTTGCCTGACGTACTCGTGATCACTTGAACAACCGTCTATTCAACTCTATGTTGCACCCGACGATGCTGCTTCTACCACTGGTGCAGTCGGTGCCGATGCTGATGCTTCTACTAATACCAGTGCTTGTCATGTTCACCTGATTGCGCAGTGATCTGCACGACAACTGACTGGTTGATGACTGGTGCTTCGACTCGTCTGAACTTCTGTCTAATCATCGACAGGTGAATTGTTCCGTGTTGGACATTGAATAAGTTACTGAACCGATTCCATTGTGCTCAGCTATTATTCTCGTGTGCAATCTTCGAAGCTATCACTTGGACTGATTGTCCCAGTAATGAGCACGTCGTGACTCCTTACACAAATCAGGTTGAGGCAAGTATGGTGATCTTGACCGACCGTTGACGAAGCGGACTGAATATCGAATGGTGATTGGAAGTGGTGTGTTGACAGGTGAATCACAATGGCAAAGCTCACTGTGGTTGTCGTGATCATGAACTGGTCAGCCATGTCTACCCATAATGATTGTTAATCGATAGCGACCAGTGTGTTGTTGACTCGGACTCCATAGAGAATGTGTGTTCATAGGGCATGTGGATGAGAATAGTATACTGAATGCGAATGAGTGTGAGCGTTGGTCACATGCAGTCAGTATAGTTGGTAGTGTTTGTCGTGGGAGTTGCACGGTGCGGCTGAGTTAGTGCGTGCACGTCTCCCGACGGGAATGATGTTGCAGTGATCTCTGCCTATATGCAGATGGGATGATGAGTGATGGTGTTATTGTGATTGTGTATAGCATGTACAGTGACGAATTAAAAGGCGATTTGCATCGGCCGGGAATCGAACCCGGGCCGCCCGCGTGGCAGGCGAGCATTCTACCACTGAACCACCGATGCCCGAATGTGTATTCCGCAACAACACACACACACACACACATGCACATGCGCATGCACATGAGATACACACCAACAGTACCAATGATTATCACTACTAATTCCTACACTCTCTCACATCCTACTCTCCTCATTCCCCATCATCCATCAACAACTACATCCACATTCTCATCGAATCATCCTTGAATTATCACAACACCATTCCCACCACCACCACCAACAACAACTAACTATTTATCAACATTCACATCGTGCACGTTATTCACCGGTCGAAGTGAAACACAACACATTTATTGCACTCTACACGTTCACCAGTCACCAGTATCAACAACATCTACACTGCACACACACACACACACACACTATCATATACCACTCGTCACAGTATCAACACACTACAAACCAGATTCATTAAACCGGTCGAATCGGGGCACATTCACACAATAACATCAACAACACTACAAACACCATGAGCATCGTCAACTTCACCTTCGTCAACACCATCATTATTAGCAACAGCATCAACAGCAGCAGTAGCAGTAGCAGTAGCAGTAGTAGTAGTAGTAGTAGTAGTAGTAGTAGTAGTAGTAGTAGTAGTAGTATTCAAATAATAATAATAATAATACTAACATTATCAAGAAGAAGAAGAATAAGAATGAGAAGAAGAGGAAGAAGAAGAATAGTACTTGTATTAGTAGTACTAGTAGTAACGGAAGTATCAGCAGCAGCAGCAGCAGCGGCAGCACCACCACCACCACCACTACTCAATTGTTCCTTGCAAACGATCGAACAGACTGAGATTACTTCTTCTCCACCTGACCACCCACACATAATTCACAAACACATTCACAACCACCGATTGGTGGACATCATTTCTCTTTGAGTTGTTGACGTTGCATATCTGTGCAGTTGAATGTAGCCGATCAGTCAGACTGAGGTTACTGCTATGTTGCCTGACGTACTCGTGATCACTTGAACAACCGTCTATTCAACTCTATGTTGCACCCGACGATGCTGCTTCTACCACTGGTGCAGTCGGTGCCGATGCTGATGCTTCTACTAATACCAGTGCTTGTCATGTTCACCTGATTGCGCAGTGATCTGCACGACAACTGACTGGTTGATGACTGGTGCTTCGACTCGTCTGAACTTCTGTCTAATCATCGACAGGTGAATTGTTCCGTGTTGGACATTGAATAAGTTACTGAACCGATTCCATTGTGCTCAGCTATTATTCTCGTGTGCAATCTTCGAAGCTATCACTTGGACTGATTGTCCCAGTAATGAGCACGTCGTGACTCCTTACACAAATCAGGTTGAGGCAAGTATGGTGATCTTGACCGACCGTTGACGAAGCGGACTGAATATCGAATGGTGATTGGAAGTGGTGTGTTGACAGGTGAATCACAATGGCAAAGCTCACTGTGGTTGTCGTGATCATGAACTGGTCAGCCATGTCTACCCATAATGATTGTTAATCGATAGCGACCAGTGTGTTGTTGACTCGGACTCCATAGAGAATGTGTGTTCATAGGGCATGTGGATGAGAATAGTATACTGAATGCGAATGAGTGTGAGCGTTGGTCACATGCAGTCAGTATAGTTGGTAGTGTTTGTCGTGGGAGTTGCACGGTGCGGCTGAGTTAGTGCGTGCACGTCTCCCGACGGGAATGATGTTGCAGTGATCTCTGCCTATATGCAGATGGGATGATGAGTGATGGTGTTATTGTGATTGTGTATAGCATGTACAGTGACGAATTAAAAGGCGATTTGCATCGGCCGGGAATCGAACCCGGGCCGCCCGCGTGGCAGGCGAGCATTCTACCACTGAACCACCGATGCCCGAATGTGTATTCCGCAACAACAACACACACACACACACACATGCACATGCGCATGCACATGAGATACACACCAACAGTACCAATGATTATCACTACTAATTCCTACACTCTCTCACATCCTACTCTCCTCATTCCCCATCATCCATCAACAACTACATCCACATTCTCATCGAATCATCCTTGAATTATCACAACACCATTCCCACCACCACCAACAACAACAACTAACTATTTATCAACATTCACATCGTGCACGTTATTCACCGGTCGAAGTGAAACACAACACATTTATTGCACTCTACACGTTCACCAGTCACCAGTATCAACAACATCTACACTGCACACACACACACACACACACTATCATATACCACTCGTCACAGTATCAACACACTACAAACCAGATTCATTAAACCGGTCGAATCGGGGCACATTCACACAATAACATCAACAACACTACAAACACCATGAGCATCGTCAACTTCACCTTCGTCAACACCATCATTATTAGCAACAGCATCAACAGCAGCAGTAGCAGTAGCAGTAGCAGTAGTAGTAGTAGTAGTAGTAGTAATAGTAGTAGTAGTATTAGTATTCAAATAATAATAATAATAATACTAACATTATCAAGAAGAAGAAGAATAAGAATGAGAAGAAGAGGAAGAAGAAGAATAGTACTTGTATTAGTAGTACTAGTAGTAACGGAAGTATCAGCAGCAGCAGCGGCAGAGGCAGCACCACCACCACCACCACTACTCAATTGTTCCTTGCAAACGATCGAACAGACTGAGATTACTTCTTCTCCACCTGACCACCCACACATAATTCACAAACACATTCACAACCACCGATTGGTGGACATCATTTCTCTTTGAGTTGTTGACGTTGCATATCTGTGCAGTTGAATGTAGCCGATCAGTCAGACTGAGGTTACTGCTATGTTGCCTGACGTACTCGTGATCACTTGAACAACCGTCTATTCAACTCTATGTTGCACCCGACGATGCTGCTTCTACCACTGGTGCAGTCGGTGCCGATGCTGATGCTTCTACTAATACCAGTGCTTGTCATGTTCACCTGATTGCGCAGTGATCTGCACGACAACTGACTGGTTGATGACTGGTGCTTCGACTCGTCTGAACTTCTGTCTAATCATCGACAGGTGAATTGTTCCGTGTTGGACATTGAATAAGTTACTGAACCGATTCCATTGTGCTCAGCTATTATTCTCGTGTGCAATCTTCGAAGCTATCACTTGGACTGATTGTCCCAGTAATGAGCACGTCGTGACTCCTTACACAAATCAGGTTGAGGCAAGTATGGTGATCTTGACCGACCGTTGACGAAGCGGACTGAATATCGAATGGTGATTGGAAGTGGTGTGTTGACAGGTGAATCACAATGGCAAAGCTCACTGTGGTTGTCGTGATCATGAACTGGTCAGCCATGTCTACCCATAATGATTGTTAATCGATAGCGACCAGTGTGTTGTTGACTCGGACTCCATAGAGAATGTGTGTTCATAGGGCATGTGGATGAGAATAGTATACTGAATGCGAATGAGTGTGAGCGTTGGTCACATGCAGTCAGTATAGTTGGTAGTGTTTGTCGTGGGAGTTGCACGGTGCGGCTGAGTTAGTGCGTGCACGTCTCCCGACGGGAATGATGTTGCAGTGATCTCTGCCTATATGCAGATGGGATGATGAGTGATGGTGTTATTGTGATTGTGTATAGCATGTACAGTGACGAATTAAAAGGCGATTTGCATCGGCCGGGAATCGAACCCGGGCCGCCCGCGTGGCAGGCGAGCATTCTACCACTGAACCACCGATGCCCGAATGTGTATTCCGCAACAACAACACACACACACACACACATGCACATGCGCATGCACATGAGATACACACCAACAGTACCAATGATTATCACTACTAATTCCTACACTCTCTCACATCCTACTCTCCTCATTCCCCATCATCCATCAACAACTACATCCACATTCTCATCGAATCATCCTTGAATTATCACAACACCATTCCCACCACCACCACCAACAACAACTAACTATTTATCAACATTCACATCGTGCACGTTATTCACCGGTCGAAGTGAAACACAACACATTTATTGCACTCTACACGTTCACCAGTCACCAGTATCAACAACATCTACACTGCACACACACACACACACACACTATCATATACCACTCGTCACAGTATCAACACACTACAAACCAGATTCATTAAACCGGTCGAATCGGGGCACATTCACACAATAACATCAACAACACTACAAACACCATGAGCATCGTCAACTTCACCTTCGTCAACACCATCATTATTAGCAACAGCATCAACAGCAGCAGTAGCAGTAGCAGTAGCAGTAGCAGTAGTAGTAGTAGTAGTAGTAGTAGTAGTAGTAGTAGTAGTAGTAGTAGTAGTAGTATTCAAATAATAATAATAATAATACTAACATTATCAAGAAGAAGAAGAATAAGAATGAGAAGAAGAGGAAGAAGAAGAATAGTACTTGTATTAGTAGTACTAGTAGTAACGGAAGTATCAGCAGCAGCAGCAGCAGCAGCAGCGGCAGCACCACCACCACCACCACTACTCAATTGTTCCTTGCAAACGATCGAACAGACTGAGATTACTTCTTCTCCACCTGACCACCCACACATAATTCACAAACACATTCACAACCACCGATTGGTGGACATCATTTCTCTTTGAGTTGTTGACGTTGCATATCTGTGCAGTTGAATGTAGCCGATCAGTCAGACTGAGGTTACTGCTATGTTGCCTGACGTACTCGTGATCACTTGAACAACCGTCTATTCAACTCTATGTTGCACCCGACGATGCTGCTTCTACCACTGGTGCAGTCGGTGCCGATGCTGATGCTTCTACTAATACCAGTGCTTGTCATGTTCACCTGATTGCGCAGTGATCTGCACGACAACTGACTGGTTGATGACTGGTGCTTCGACTCGTCTGAACTTCTGTCTAATCATCGACAGGTGAATTGTTCCGTGTTGGACATTGAATAAGTTACTGAACCGATTCCATTGTGCTCAGCTATTATTCTCGTGTGCAATCTTCGAAGCTATCACTTGGACTGATTGTCCCAGTAATGAGCACGTCGTGACTCCTTACACAAATCAGGTTGAGGCAAGTATGGTGATCTTGACCGACCGTTGACGAAGCGGACTGAATATCGAATGGTGATTGGAAGTGGTGTGTTGACAGGTGAATCACAATGGCAAAGCTCACTGTGGTTGTCGTGATCATGAACTGGTCAGCCATGTCTACCCATAATGATTGTTAATCGATAGCGACCAGTGTGTTGTTGACTCGGACTCCATAGAGAATGTGTGTTCATAGGGCATGTGGATGAGAATAGTATACTGAATGCGAATGAGTGTGAGCGTTGGTCACATGCAGTCAGTATAGTTGGTAGTGTTTGTCGTGGGAGTTGCACGGTGCGGCTGAGTTAGTGCGTGCACGTCTCCCGACGGGAATGATGTTGCAGTGATCTCTGCCTATATGCAGATGGGATGATGAGTGATGGTGTTATTGTGATTGTGTATAGCATGTACAGTGACGAATTAAAAGGCGATTTGCATCGGCCGGGAATCGAACCCGGGCCGCCCGCGTGGCAGGCGAGCATTCTACCACTGAACCACCGATGCCCGAATGTGTATTCCGCAACAACAACACACACACACACATGCACATGCGCATGCACATGAGATACACACCAACAGTACCAATGATTATCACTACTAATTCCTACACTCTCTCACATCCTACTCTCCTCATTCCCCATCATCCATCAACAACTACATCCACATTCTCATCGAATCATCCTTGAATTATCACAACACCATTCCCACCACCACCACCAACAACAACTAACTATTTATCAACATTCACATCGTGCACGTTATTCACCGGTCGAAGTGAAACACAACACATTTATTGCACTCTACACGTTCACCAGTCACCAGTATCAACAACATCTACACTGCACACACACACACACACACACTATCATATACCACTCGTCACAGTATCAACACACTACAAACCAGATTCATTAAACCGGTCGAATCGGGGCACATTCACACAATAACATCAACAACACTACAAACACCATGAGCATCGTCAACTTCACCTTCGTCAACACCATCATTATTAGCAACAGCATCAACAGCAGCAGTAGCAGTAGCAGTAGCAGTAGCAGTAGTAGTAGTAGTAGTAGTAGTAGTAGTATAGTAGTAGTAGTAGTAGTAGTATTCAAATAATAATAATAATAATAATACTAACATTATCAAGAAGAAGAAGAATAAGAATGAGAAGAAGAGGAAGAAGAAGAATAGTACTTGTATTAGTAGTACTAGTAGTAACGGAAGTATCAGCAGCAGCAGCAGCAGCAGCAGCGGCAGCACCACCACCACCACCACTACTCAATTGTTCCTTGCAAACGATCGAACAGACTGAGATTACTTCTTCTCCACCTGACCACCCACACATAATTCACAAACACATTCACAACCACCGATTGGTGGACATCATTTCTCTTTGAGTTGTTGACGTTGCATATCTGTGCAGTTGAATGTAGCCGATCAGTCAGACTGAGGTTACTGCTATGTTGCCTGACGTACTCGTGATCACTTGAACAACCGTCTATTCAACTCTATGTTGCACCCGACGATGCTGCTTCTACCACTGGTGCAGTCGGTGCCGATGCTGATGCTTCTACTAATACCAGTGCTTGTCATGTTCACCTGATTGCGCAGTGATCTGCACGACAACTGACTGGTTGATGACTGGTGCTTCGACTCGTCTGAACTTCTGTCTAATCATCGACAGGTGAATTGTTCCGTGTTGGACATTGAATAAGTTACTGAACCGATTCCATTGTGCTCAGCTATTATTCTCGTGTGCAATCTTCGAAGCTATCACTTGGACTGATTGTCCCAGTAATGAGCACGTCGTGACTCCTTACACAAATCAGGTTGAGGCAAGTATGGTGATCTTGACCGACCGTTGACGAAGCGGACTGAATATCGAATGGTGATTGGAAGTGGTGTGTTGACAGGTGAATCACAATGGCAAAGCTCACTGTGGTTGTCGTGATCATGAACTGGTCAGCCATGTCTACCCATAATGATTGTTAATCGATAGCGACCAGTGTGTTGTTGACTCGGACTCCATAGAGAATGTGTGTTCATAGGGCATGTGGATGAGAATAGTATACTGAATGCGAATGAGTGTGAGCGTTGGTCACATGCAGTCAGTATAGTTGGTAGTGTTTGTCGTGGGAGTTGCACGGTGCGGCTGAGTTAGTGCGTGCACGTCTCCCGACGGGAATGATGTTGCAGTGATCTCTGCCTATATGCAGATGGGATGATGAGTGATGGTGTTATTGTGATTGTGTATAGCATGTACAGTGACGAATTAAAAGGCGATTTGCATCGGCCGGGAATCGAACCCGGGCCGCCCGCGTGGCAGGCGAGCATTCTACCACTGAACCACCGATGCCCGAATGTGTATTCCGCAACAACACACACACACACACACACATGCACATGCGCATGCACATGAGATACACACCAACAGTACCAATGATTATCACTACTAATTCCTACACTCTCTCACATCCTACTCTCCTCATTCCCCATCATCCATCAACAACTACATCCACATTCTCATCGAATCATCCTTGAATTATCACAACACCATTCCCACCACCACCACCAACAACAACTAACTATTTATCAACATTCACATCGTGCACGTTATTCACCGGTCGAAGTGAAACACAACACATTTATTGCACTCTACACGTTCACCAGTCACCAGTATCAACAACATCTACACTGCACACACACACACACACACACTATCATATACCACTCGTCACAGTATCAACACACTACAAACCAGATTCATTAAACCGGTCGAATCGGGGCACATTCACACAATAACATCAACAACACTACAAACACCATGAGCATCGTCAACTTCACCTTCGTCAACACCATCATTATTAGCAACAGCATCAACAGCAGCAGTAGCAGTAGCAGTAGCAGTAGTAGTAGTAGTAGTACTAGTAGTAGTAGTAGTAGTAGTAGTAGTAGTAGTAGTAGTATTCAAATAATAATAATAATAATACTAACATTATCAAGAAGAAGAAGAATAAGAATGAGAAGAAGAGGAAGAAGAAGAATAGTACTTGTATTAGTAGTACTAGTAGTAACGGAAGTATCAGCAGCAGCAGCAGCAGCAGCAGCGGCAGCACCACCACCACCACCACTACTCAATTGTTCCTTGCAAACGATCGAACAGACTGAGATTACTTCTTCTCCACCTGACCACCCACACATAATTCACAAACACATTCACAACCACCGATTGGTGGACATCATTTCTCTTTGAGTTGTTGACGTTGCATATCTGTGCAGTTGAATGTAGCCGATCAGTCAGACTGAGGTTACTGCTATGTTGCCTGACGTACTCGTGATCACTTGAACAACCGTCTATTCAACTCTATGTTGCACCCGACGATGCTGCTTCTACCACTGGTGCAGTCGGTGCCGATGCTGATGCTTCTACTAATACCAGTGCTTGTCATGTTCACCTGATTGCGCAGTGATCTGCACGACAACTGACTGGTTGATGACTGGTGCTTCGACTCGTCTGAACTTCTGTCTAATCATCGACAGGTGAATTGTTCCGTGTTGGACATTGAATAAGTTACTGAACCGATTCCATTGTGCTCAGCTATTATTCTCGTGTGCAATCTTCGAAGCTATCACTTGGACTGATTGTCCCAGTAATGAGCACGTCGTGACTCCTTACACAAATCAGGTTGAGGCAAGTATGGTGATCTTGACCGACCGTTGACGAAGCGGACTGAATATCGAATGGTGATTGGAAGTGGTGTGTTGACAGGTGAATCACAATGGCAAAGCTCACTGTGGTTGTCGTGATCATGAACTGGTCAGCCATGTCTACCCATAATGATTGTTAATCGATAGCGACCAGTGTGTTGTTGACTCGGACTCCATAGAGAATGTGTGTTCATAGGGCATGTGGATGAGAATAGTATACTGAATGCGAATGAGTGTGAGCGTTGGTCACATGCAGTCAGTATAGTTGGTAGTGTTTGTCGTGGGAGTTGCACGGTGCGGCTGAGTTAGTGCGTGCACGTCTCCCGACGGGAATGATGTTGCAGTGATCTCTGCCTATATGCAGATGGGATGATGAGTGATGGTGTTATTGTGATTGTGTATAGCATGTACAGTGACGAATTAAAAGGCGATTTGCATCGGCCGGGAATCGAACCCGGGCCGCCCGCGTGGCAGGCGAGCATTCTACCACTGAACCACCGATGCCCGAATGTGTATTCCGCAACAACACACACACACACACACATGCACATGCGCATGCACATGAGATACACACCAACAGTACCAATGATTATCACTACTAATTCCTACACTCTCTCACATCCTACTCTCCTCATTCCCCATCATCCATCAACAACTACATCCACATTCTCATCGAATCATCCTTGAATTATCACAACACCATTCCCACCACCACCACCAACAACAACTAACTATTTATCAACATTCACATCGTGCACGTTATTCACCGGTCGAAGTGAAAC